GCCCCGCGCTTCCCGGCAATAGCCAGGGAAGTAGAAGAGCCATGAGCTGAGCTCAAGCAGTGGCCCTGAGCTCTTGCGGTCGAGGACACAGAGCTCGGGAAGCATTAGGGGTTGTAAACCCATATGTCGCAGGCCGACAATCTGAAGGAAAACGACGGCGTGCCTTGAGTTTGGCAAACTCAAATCGGAGGTACGCACGTCCACTTCCTTGTGGCTCAACTCCAGGTGATGCAGTGAGGAAAGGTTTTGGTGCCGTTGCACCCATCGCTCAAAGAGCGCTTCATCATCTGTAGCGCTTTCGCCAGGGATTAGCACTACAGGTATTGTCCGCATTGCGGGTACACGAGAGCCACCTCGTTGTGTACGCAGACAAGCGCGAAAGGTTTCCAACGGAAATTCTTGTGGGACCAAGAAACGAGCTTGAAGAGCTTTCGGTGTGGCAAGTTCATCATCCGTTCTGGCCGGGGCCCGATGATGTAGACGCGTAATGTTCAAATTACCACGTCCTTTGCTGCCACGGCGGGAACTGCTGGGCGGAAACCATACTTCACACAAGGGTCAATGACCGACCGTGAATGGGCGCGCTTTAGAGCCGCCTTATGGTCAGCTTCAAGCTGCCGCCTCTGTTTCTCGTTGAGGTTATTGGTGATCACACCACGTGCCTCAGTTGACGAGAAGTCAGGGAACGGACATGGGGTCTGCAAGACACGAGCAGGGCTCGTATCGCGCCGCTGGTGCAGCTCGTCTTCCTCGTCATCCCATGCGGGAAAAGGAGTATCAGACTTTTATTCGACCACATCCTCAACAAGACCACTCGGCTTGAAAGCGTGCGCGGAATGCGACGTTTGTGCTCATAGAGCCTGGGATATACACCCCTCGGTGCTGCGGACGCACTGTCCGACATTGCACCGAGTGCGGGAGATGAAGTTAGGCTCTGCTCATGCTCGCCGTCAGAACCGTCGAGACTTGGAGATTTTGGTGTCATTGACACAGGACTCATTGAGCAAGGAAGTAGTTTGTTCCAACAAATGGAGTTGCAGTGTCTAACGGACACGCGAGCCACGTTGAGGCAATGATTGATTGGAACTGTAAATGTTCTCAATTTTAATGGGGGAGGGTGTAACGGGGTTACACGAACCCTAATAACAGGGGTGTGTGTCGCAAGAGATGTGCAGTCCCATCATGCGATGGGACCACACACCATAACAAGAATACGGCACGGGGCTAGGTAGCCAGTAATATGCATGTATTATGATTTTGCCATATATTTAGTATATTTAGGAAAATCCAAACTTTTAGCATTAAAATAAAATTATAAATAAAAATCAGTTTCGATTCTGAACAGAGTGTTCGTTTGCCTTGGTAAGGCTTCAAAGTACTTTTAGAGGTAGCGGATTACGATCCGCTGCGCTAGTATTTGGTTCTTGTAAAGAACAAAAGGTCGGTGACTTTAAGACGCTTCCTCAAGCGAAAAGCTACAGTAGCCCCGCTACATTTTTGTTGTTAGCCTGCGTACAAGATAGTTATTTATATACTTACAAATTTATATTTGCTTGGCGGTCCTGATGCAGATGCTTTTCGCGTTATCGAGGGAACAAGTTTTGTCGTGCACTCTGCACAGAAAAAACTTGGACTGAAAGTTATCTCGTCGGCAAGTTGGATTCGTACGCGGCGAACCGAGAGTTTTAATTCTAAATTTCTTTGTATCTCACGAAAGGTATGTATTTTGAAATGCCACAATTTAGATCTATATCAAACATGCAACGAGGTTGTCATACGCTTTGTACACAGAAAAACCAGGTTGACGTGAGCCTGAAAATTCAGTTTTGAATACTTCATCTAGCGAAACGGTGTCAATGCGATACAACAGATAATAGCAAGGGATTCTTGTTACTCTTTATGACTTGTTGGGTCTTACTCTAATTTCTTTATGCGGCTCTTTGAAAATGATAATTTAAAGATTGTGCGGGGAACACAGCACATCATGAGAACAGTCTCAATATACTTGATAATGGAGACATCCTGCACTAGAAAACATGAGCATTTTTAAAATGTCGTGCGCAACCAGAGAACACAAGGTATCGAAAAACATTTAAGAGATAGTTGATAGACACAGTGACGCATGCAGTACCTGCGCTTCAACAACAATGTATAATCTATGAGGTATGCTGTCACATCACTATGATAAAATTGAAAGTTTGTGCATTAGCATACTGTTTATTCATCCCCCGGTATCAATAGGTCGATAGCAGAAATCACATGAAAGCATAACAGTGTTGTGAGCTATATGATCAAACAATATGTAACAACGAAAATGTAAAGCTCCAGCGCACATGGACATTCAGCTTGCTAACAAGCCAAATAAAAATATATATACTTCAACAAGTCTGCTTCGTTTTGATTACCCCAAAGAGTCTCAGAATCATTTCATAAAGTATCTTGAAGCGGAGAGGCTTGTCAAAGCGTTTGTTTACCTTTCGACACGATTGGATCATAGTTTACGTCAGGAAAGGTATTTCTTGCAGGCTGTGCGATAGCAGGATGAAGGTCGTTGACGATTCTTGAACCACCTTCACGATTGTCATCCAATTGGTCTTGTTTTCTTTTTCTCTTGAGTTTCGTCCCTTGGTTTGTGGGGTTGGGAAGGCTCAAAGTCAACTCCAGCTCTTCAGTTGCTGGAATATCATGACTGTCGATAGCAAAATGAGCAGGAGAGGCGGCTTGACCTTGGGTAGCGTGAGTGCGTTTCTCGGCCAGGGTAGCTTTGACATTTAGGTCGAGTTTAGACCTTTTACCGGCTTGAGCAGCTTCGAACTCTGGAGGCACGAAAGCGATTTTCTCGGCTTGAGCGCCTGGTTTGGTTTTGGCAGTTGAGACGGCTGCGCCTAGTTTGGATTTGGCAGTTGAGACGGCTCGAGCGGCTTGTTCAACCTCAGTTTTGTACATTTTTGACTTTTTCAAAGCTTCATTGGCAGCGTTCTTGTATAGCTCAGCGTAATCACGATGCATCTTTTCCGCTTGTGTAGCTGTAATAATGAATTGGTGAATGTTGTCGCGAGCAAAATGGTGAAGAATAGCTGTCACCAAAGCTGATTCAAAATCTTTATTAGCTGTGGCGGCGGCGTTGAGTAGGTCAGCCTGGTAGACTTGAATGTCTTGAACTGCATCAGTTCTTCCAGCGAGGTAGAAAACATTGACGAGTTGTTTGACTTTTTCGGCTTCCGCTAAAAGTTGGTCTAGTTTGGTTTTGGCGTCTATGGCGATGTTAGCGGCGTTGTCGACCTCATTATCGTGGTTGACAAAGTCAATGCGATAAAAGTGGGCTTTTTGGCTCCATGCATTAGCTTGCGCGGAATGTTGTTCGTTGAGTATCCGGTTGTTTCTCTTCTGCTTAGTAGCTTCAGCACTTCTGAGTTCTAAAGCTTTCAACTTTTTGATTGCGTTTTTATAATCGACCTTGACTTGCTGGAATTTTGCAACAGCGTCTTCATAATTCTTGGTGCCGGAAGAGCCAACATGTTCTCCGAAGGAAATCATATTGTTCAAGCCACTAACACTTTTCATCTTGAATTTATTTAACCACAAGATTGCCTCAGACACATCGTTCCCTGCACCCTTGAGTACTCCAGGTGAAGTGACGCGCTCTTCTCCAGCCACTGGAGATTCCAGTTGATCTCCGCTCCCTCTAAGAGATCTTCTGGGCAACGTCTTTGTGTCAGAATCACTGACTGGCAACTTGTCATGGTATTGCGTTATATCAGACTTGATCTGGACAGATTCAGCAGCTGTGCGAATGCTACTCGCGATGAGGATAGCAGTGGCCACGTAAAATGCACCTCGCATGAGTTGAAAAGATTTCGAACTTGATTGACTTTTTTGATTTATGTGATTGTCAACTACCATTGATTGACATGTTAATATTATTACTTCTATACCCATAAAATATTTAACTGATTGGTCACATCATAGCTTTTATACCCATTAAACATTTGATTGATTGGTCACATCATAGCTTTTATACCCATCAAACGCATTGTTGATTGGTTATTATCATAGCTAAGATACTCAGACGCAATGATATGTGGACATTTAACATATAGACAATTGCCTAATGCTTTAATTGTGACACAAAATATTACTTTCCTTACATTGGCACAGCAATCTGTATACGGTGTTAATGCTAAGGTCGGAGCTTCGGCTTTGCCGAGTATACATTTAGATTTTCCTGCCATAGTGTTACATCGCCGGTGGTAGCACCATCTGGCGAGATCTGTGTATTAAATCTTAATTTTGACATGCATTCAACTTAACCACATAGGGAGTTCGAACAAACACCTTCTGGATGACTGTAAGCGAAACTATATCAACGTCAAATTATACAAACATGCCGTGTATCATCAGCGCAGGGCAGATACACAGGTGCATAGCGCATACAGCAACTCTATCTGTAGTCAAGAAACACTTGTGTATATCCAGTGTAGCTGACTTCAAGTACGTTGCCAATTGGAAACAACTACACTGACTGCAGTTAACTGCGATTATGATCACTAAATATTCAAATGCATCATAACGGGCAACACCATCCGCGAGAGAATAATATTCCGCCGGCATTGCTTGCCAAGTACGGGGTCTTCCTCTTACATAATAACTTTTCAAGTTCTTCAGATATGTAAGCGGTATCGAGAAAGGTAGAAGAGTTATTCTCTCTGATAACCCATTCAGTGCTACCCAGTACAACGCGCCCTTCCATCAAGAAAGGCTTAGCCTTGCTAAATAAGACTTCGCAGGATGCTCTACCACCATCCCAGATAAGCAGCGTGGTATTTAGCAATAGCGAAACGTTTTTGAAAGTAGTTGCCTTGCTATATGAGACTTGGCAGGAGCTCTACCATTAGCCCTAAAAAGAAAAGCAGCGTGGCGTATAACAATAACGAGATTTCAAGCAAAATCTTCGATGTCTATACTGCTGTGTACCTCATTAAGTCAATCATAAAAATCATAACGTAGTTTGACGTAAGCGTGACTTGTTAATTTCAAAACATAGGCCTAAATGGACGTATAATTTTATGTCCGAGCTTAAATTTAGTACAAATGCCAGTACTTATTATAAAGGGGCTACGCGTATCCTGGTAACAGGGGTGTGTTTCGCACAGATTTTACTATATATCTGGTGTATTTAGCAAAATCTAAACTTTTAAAATTAGGATATAAACAAATAAATATCAGTTTGAATTTAAACCGAAGAGTCAATTAGCCTTGGGAATAATTACTCTTGGGGTTAGCGGATTGCGATCCGCCAACTCGAACTTACTTCTTGTAAAGAACGAAAGGTCGGTGACCTAAAGTAAGCTTTCTCGAGCGCCAGCCTCGCTGCACTTGGTAGCACTTGTAGTCGATCTACACCTGAGTGATCCACTGTAAGGATGGAGATATTTTCCTCTTTGCCCCAGGGCATGCATGACGGGCTTAATAAGCTGATGTCCTAGCTTGGCCCTGAGGGCGTGCAACACCTTGTGGCACAAGGCCCCGAGGCAATCGGTGCG